GATGGAAAAAAAAGTTTCATGTACCACTTGTAACTTTTACGAACACAATCAACAAAGCCAATCTGCATGTCACATTTGTCAACCAAGTGCATGTTTTGTGTATAATCAGTCACTGTCACTGGTTTTCGAATACGTTCATTAATCACTCGATCAACTTTGCCACTGTCTTGCATTTCGTTACGGTGAATGGTTGTCAACAATGTGACATCTCGTTTGTCATGCCACTGTAATGCCATGTCATTGGCAGTAAACACCTGCACGTCATCACCACGAGCACCTGCGTTGAGCCTGGGCATATGTTTACGATTAGAACACACCAGAGGTAGAAGGTTGAGGATTGTCAGAGTTTTCTGCGCTATTATCGATATCCTGGTCATTCCTTTCGGTCACTAACTGATCAAAGCCAAAGAATTCGTCTTCATTTCCACTTCCATCAGTGTCAGAACTATCAGATAGGAAGAGGAGAGTCGGAATTTTCCTTGGAGTGAGAGTTGCCTTGCGACGAGGCATGGTGAACAAGGGTAACTGAGCTGGCGTTCCCACAATGCTATGCGGGCGCCTAGATTTTTTTGTTTATGGCACACACCCACAATGCAGACCCGTTCTCTCACATGTAGGCCTATGAGCGTTTTCGCGCTAAATTTGACGGCTCTAGAATTTTGGCATAGATCTATGGCTTGGACACTGAACGTGAAGCCGTACATTTACGGGACGGACCTTGAAAGGGTTAAAATGTAAATATCTCTTATTTATAAATTATTCACATATTGTTTGTGGATAGTTGTGGTGGCAGAAGCCTCCACCACCAGTGGCCATTATAAACTCGACAACAATAATATGTCACTCTATCACTTATCCTCGCATACATTATGACATATTTTATTCATTCTAGAGTATATATCATGTTTCTATGATATTAATATGGTTTATTTTGTCATATTAGATGAATTGTGATTGATGAATAAGCCGTACAGACGATATTAGTGTCATATTGAAGCATGATAAACTCTCCTTCCTCTCTCCTCCTGCATGCCTGCTACACTCCCTGCATGCCTGCTCCACTCCCTGCATGCCTGCTCCACTCCCTGCATGCCTGCTCCACTCCCTGCATGCCTGCTCCACTCCCTGCATGCCTGCTCCACTCCCTGCATGCCTGCTCCACTCCCTGCATGCCTGCTCCACTCCCTGCATGCCTGCTCCACTCCCTGCATGCCTGCTCCACTCCCTGCATGCCTGCTCCACTCCCTGCATGCCTGCTCCACTCCCTGCATGCCTGCTCCACTCCCTGCATGCCTGCTCCACTCCCTGCATGCCTGCTCCACTCCCTGCATGCCTGCTCCACTCCCTGCATGCTGCTCACCCCTGAGCTGCTCCACTCCCTGCATTGCCTGCTCCCACTCCCTGCATGCCTGCTCCACTCCCTGCATGCCTGCTCCACTCCCTGCATGCCTGCTCCACTCCCTGCATGCCTGCTCCACTCCCTGCATGCCTGCTCCACTCCCTGCATGCCTGTCCACTCCCTGCATGCCTGCTCCACTCCCTGCATGCCTGCTCCACTCCCTGCATGCCTGCTCCACTCCCTGCATGCCTGCTACACTCCCTGCATGCCTGCTACACTCCCTGCATGCCTGCTACACTCCCTGCATGCCTGCTACACTCCCTGCATGTCTGCTACACTTCCTGCAGGCCTGCTACACTCCCTGCATGTCTGCTACACTTCCTGCAGGCCTGCTACACTCCCTGCATGTCTGCTACACTCTCAGCATGCCTGCTACACTTCCTACAGGCCTGCTACACTCCCTGCATGTCTGCTACACTCCCAGCATGCCTGCTACACTCCCAGCATGCCTGCTACACTCCCAGCATGCCTGCTACACTCCCAGCATGCCTGCTACACTCCCAGCATGCCTGCTACACTCCCAGCATGTCTGCTACACTCCCAGCATGTCTGCTACACTCCCAGCATGTCTGCTACACTCCCAGCATGTCTGCTACACTCCCAGCATGTCTGCTACACTCCCAGCATGTCTGCTACACTCCCAGCATGTCTGCTACACTCCCAGCATGTCTGCTACACTCCCAGCATGTCTGCTACACTCCCAGCATGTCTGCTACACTCCCAGCATGTCTGCTACACTCCCAGCATGTCTGCTACACTCCCAGCATGTCTGCTACACTCCCAGCATGTCTGCTACACTCCCTGCATGCCTGCTACACTCCCTGCATGCCTGCTACACTCCCTGCATGCCTGCTACACTCCCTGCATGCCTGCTACAATCCCTGCATGCCTGCTACACTCCCTGCATGCCTGCTACACTCCCTGCATGCCTGCTACACTCCCTGCATGCCTGCTACACTCCCTGCATGCCTGCTACACTCCCTGCATGCCTGCTACACTCCCTGCATGCCTGCTACACTCCCTGCATGCCTGCTACACTCCAAACTACGTAATTAATCTGTTCCTGAAAGCTCATCGTTAGCTGAAATTATCGTTAGCTGAATTAATTTTCCCCATAAGAAATAATGGAAATCAAATTAATCCGTGCAAGACACCCCAAAGTATGAAAAAAAAAAAATTTTTACCACATGAAATATTAATTTTAATACACACAAACTGACACTTACCTTTATTGAAGATCTGGTGATGATTGATGGGATGGGAGGAGGGTAGTGTGTGGAAGTTGTTAATGTTTAGAAGGGGAATCCCCTTCCATTAGGACTTGAGGTAGCAAGTCCTTTTCCGGGGTTACTTCCCTTTTAATGCCACTAGGACCAGCTTGAGAGTCACTGGACCTCTGTCGCACAACAAATCTGTCCATAGAGCTCTGTACCTCCCGTTCCTTTAAGACTTTCCTAAAATGGGCCATAACATTGTCATTGTACAGGTTGACAACACGGCTTGCAGTAGCTGTGTCAGGGTGATTTTCATCCATAAAGGTTTGCAATTCACCTCACTTTGCACACATTTCCTTAATCTCTTTTTTCAATTCCATATTAATTCTCGCCCTTTTTACCACAGGAATGGCACTAGAAGCTTTCTTGGGGTCCATGGTGACTTATTTTTCAGTTATAAGCAATAAAAATGCTGGGATAATGTGAAATGTACCGAATGTATGAGTAGATGCAACCGCACTGGCGCTGTGGCCACATGTGGGACGCGTCTCGAACGAATCGCGTTCGGTGAGTTTTTTAGCATTAGCCGAGGCAAAATTTTTGCGTTAAAATGTATCGTTAGCTGATGCCATCGTTAGCTGAGGGTCCACTGTATATTGTTTGTGGATAGTGGTGGTGGCAGAAGCCTCCACCACCACTAATATGTATGGCTTCTCTCAGTGGCCCTTATAAACCCAACAACACTACTATGACATATTTTATTCATTCTAGAGTAGTATATGTGTATCATGTTTCTATGGTATTAATATTGTTTATTATGTCATATTGGATGAATTGTGATATTATTGTTATAATCAAAAAGAAGCGCTAAGCCATAAGGACTATACAGCATGAATTGTGATAGATAAATAAGCCATAGAATTGATAATAGTTTCATATTGACGTACTATTCTGTCAAACCTCCTGACAGCAGGAATGAGTTAATTGGATTTCCATTATTTTTTATGGGGAAAATTAATTCGGCTAATGATAAAATCGGTTAAAGACAAGCTCTCGGGAATGGATTAATATTGTTACCCGAGGGTCCACTGTATTATAAACTAAGAAGTCTTATTCTCATGTACTAATACTCATAATTTAGTTTTAACCCTTTCAGGGTTTTCGACATACTAGTACAGCTTATGCACCAGGGTTATTGACGTACTAGTACGCCTAAAATCTAGCGAGAGAAAGCTGGTAGGCCTACATATGAAAGAATGGGTCTGTGGTCAGTGTGCGCAGTATAAAAAAAAAATCCTACAACACACAGTGCGTAATGAGAAAAAAAAAAACTGTTTTTTTGGATTAAAACAGCGACTTTGCACTGTATTTTTGTATGGTATTTATGGTTGCATTCTAGTTTTCCTGGTCTCATTTTATAGAATGTAAGAAATATTACAGAAATTGAGATGATTTTGACAGGTTTCACAATGAAAAGTACCTTGAAATTGAGCTCAAAGTAGCAGAAATGTTCGATTTTTACCAAAGTTCAAAAGTAAACAAATTGTGCCAAGCATCCAATACACTTCAGCTGGTGAGTCTACTATTCTTTCACAAGTGCACTGATATACCATTTCTACACTAATGTAGTAGTCTGCATAACAGTAATCTTCTATTTTTTTGTTAGAATAAAAATTCAAAGTGGAAAGCAAAAGAAATATAAGAGGGGCCTGGGGATGTGACTAACGAACAGAGAACTTGTTATTTTAGTTCCAGGAATGTCTTTCTTGTTTATTTTGGACCCTATTTGGAAATTGGCATTTGAAATTTGTGTGAAATTGGCAAAATTGCCAATTTCTAACCACTTTATTGGATAGTTGAAATTGGTAAATGGGTGGTTTCTTGTACTCATTTGATAAAAAAAAAATGGAGTTCTAGCGAAATGATTATGATTTTTGTCGACTAGTACACTGGAATTGGCCGAAAATAGGGCTCAAAATGGGCAAAATCGCCGATGCGTAAACATCGTCGAGACCGCTAACTTCGCGAGAGCATAATTCCGTAAGTTTTCGAAAAATTTTCGACCCTAAGAACAAGTTTAGGAGAGGGCCTCTCGACCCTGAAAGGGTTAACCCTTTCAGAATTTAGGTGTACTAGTACGTCAAAAATCCTGGTGCGTAAGCCGTACTAGTATGTCTGAAACCCTGAAAGGGTTAAGACTGGCCGAAATGCCTTGCATAATGGAGGGCTTTCTATATAGTTTTTTTTTTTCCCAACAAACTAGCCATATCCCACCAAGGCAGGGTGACTTAAAGAGAAAAAACGAAAGATTTTCTTTTTAAATTTAGTAATTTATACAAGGGAAGGGATTTATAAATTAGTTTATACATGTCAGTTACTCTCCACTTTAAAAATTTTGTTTTGTACTAGTTTCAGGATTGTGAGCAGGACGATACAGAGGGTTATTGCAGTGACTATGGCAATGGCTTAACCACTTTTCCTCCAGGAAGACTCCTTGACACAGAATCCTCCTTCGTTGAAACACATGGTGTTTTCTCAGATGTCCTACTGAAGAGTTGCTTGGTGCCCAGATCTTCATTTACTGGAAAAAAGAAATCAGATTTCCGAACTGTGAGGTGGAAGAGTTGCCAAGAATTGATCAGTCAAGATGCGAAGAGGAGTATTCTGAGACGTCAGACTTCAGAGCAACTGATGAAGTGCATGGTGTTCCCTGCGGCATCAGTGGTTGTATATGATGGCAATGTAGGTGTCTCCCAAGTAAAACCCTTTGTTCACCAGCATTCTGGACAGAGTCTGGATTTCTGCTGCCACAATACGTTGATAGCTAAAGTATCAGGTTCTGACCTTGGAGAAGCAGTGGAACCTGAGAACTACATCATGGCACTTCAGACTTCACCAGAGTATGAGCTTTTGAAATCCCCGAGCTCTCTCTTTAGTCAGAAGACTTCATCCAGCCACTCAAGAAAATGCACAGACAGGCAGATCACAGGCAGCTCTTGTGGTGAAGCAGACAGTATCTTCAGCTCCACTAAACAGTTCAACATGAACACAAGCACTTCCTGCAGCAAACGGCTTTACAGTGGTACAAGATTTTAAGCTTTTATTTGCACTACATTATTACTGGAATTCATAATGTAAAAACCTTCATACCTAGTCTTCAGTGACCTAGAATACACTTGACTTCTCATTCACACACACAGTATTATAATGAAGCAATTACTGTATTTTCACGGTACAGTAAAATCTCGATTTAAGGGATTTCAGAGTTTGTGAGCAAAATCTGTAGCTGAACAACATTCAGGAGCAATGAAGAAAGTTTGTTAAATCCAAAATTTATAGTTATTTTTATGGATAATTCCTCACTTAACATACCTGTAGTGTGTATTAAATTCAGATTTATCAGCTATTGCTGCAACCTGCTGGGTAAATATGTTTTCAGAGTTAATGGACTAGGTCCATCAAATCCCTAAATTGTCCATTACTTTTATGATCACTTAAAAATATTATCATAATTTGGATAAAACAGGCAAGCAACATTAACAGACACTGCTCCCCCTCCCATTAGTCCATTAAATCTATGATTCACTGTCAGTGGAAGGAAGAAAATCAAAATGTAAAACTATTTCTTATTTGTTTCTAGATGACATGACACACATTATCAAGATAAAACATACAGACCAGCTGCAGGATAATGAAGAGGATAGTGTCAAGACAGAACATACAAACCAGCTGGAGGATAGTGAAGTTGACAGTATAACGATAGAACACGCAAACCAGCTGGAGCATAATGAAGTTGGCAGTATAAAGACAGAATACACAAACCAGCTGGAGAGTAATGAAGTTGACAGTGCTTTGGACATCCAAGATGATGATGGTAGTGGACCTGGACTTAGTGAAGATGAGAATGCAGTTCTTAATACCTACAGCATTGGTGAGTAACACTAAAAGATTATGTGGAAAAGTTGCCACGAATAGGGAAGGGGTATGTGTCTTCACGCACTGGATGAAACAGATGGATTGTTTCATGGGCTAAGGCTATATAGGCACAAATTTGGTTGAATTTTGTGTAGCAACTGGAAACTGCATCCTCTGGTCCAGTTTCTTGGTTTAAGAGTCCTTCACCAGCATCAACACACCTTACTCCCTCCCCACAGTAACTGATTATCCCATGTGCAATAATTCTCTTATTGTTAATATCTGATCCCAGCCCATCCTCTTAACCACAGTCAAATGAGTGGCTATTGATGGAGCCTTAAACAGTTGAAATATCACTTACATCAGCCATGCACAGTGGTGCCTGTTTTCTGTTTGTGTGGGCAATTTTTATTTCCTTTTATCTTGTATTTATAGATTTTTGTTTTGGCATTTAACTTAGAAATGTGCTGCAAATCCTATGTAAAAAAGTGACAGCTGTTAGAAAGATGGGTTGTTGATCCACACACTCACAAATTCTGACTAACAATAGTCAGTCAGAAGTTGTGTTATTTCCTGTGCTCTTCAAATGTTGCCAAATTCCATTATGCCAAAATCCCTGTGATATGATACCAACAACAACAAAATTTATTATGTGCATCAAGGAGGACTGTTAAAGCATTTCTATGAATGTAAAACCTCAGACTTATTTAAAACTTAGAAACTTAGCAAACCATTACCGAGTCATTTCAATATACGTACTGCAAAGTGGCATAGTCCCAGATAAGTGGAAAATGGCAAGTGCATTACCGATCTACAACACAGGAAATACGTTGTTAGCTTCAAATTATAAACCATTAAATTTTTGACCTAATACCTAACGTCCATTGTGGGAAAATTGATGGAATCAGTAATTGCCAAGGCTATTCAAAACCACCTAGAATGATATAAAATGATCAATGAATCTCACCACGGTTTTATGAATTTACTACCTTTTTTCACAAAGGTAACAGAGGAGGTAGTTCATGGTAATATGAGATAGTGTTTATGGACTTCAATGTGCATATACACTATCATATTGTACATATGATAGAGTTCCACCTGGAGATTGTTTAGGAAAGTGGAGGCACATGGAATAGGAGGGAAATTTTTTTTCTTAGATAAAGGCATGGTTGACAGACAGGCAACCAAGAGTTTACATGAATGGGGAGAAATTAGAGTGGAGATGCAGCACAAGCAGTGTTCTACAGAGGTCATTGTTGAGCCCTTTGTTGTTCATAATACAGTAGTACCCCGAGTTTCGGCCATAATTCGTTCCAGAAGGCTGTTTGAGTGCCGTTACTGAATGAATTTGTTCCCAAAAGGAATACTGTGAATTAGATTAGTCTGTTTCAGACCCCCAAAAATACTTACAAAATACACTTATATAATTGTTCAAGTTGGGAGCTGTACGAAACTCGGGGTACCACTTGTTACAAAAAACGTGATTCTAAAAGCTTAGAGATCTCCAGTGAATACTAGAAAGGACTGCCCTTCTAGCATCCAGCCTGTTACTGGGTTTTTGTAACAAGTAGTCAGTATCCTTGTCCAATTATCCATTAGAATTCAGTATAATTCAATAGTGCTTCAGGATTACAACTGGTAGGCTACTAACTAGAGAAATTAAAATTTAATAAATTTATTAGTCATTAACCCCTTTCAGGGTCCAAGGCCCAAATCTGGAGTCACGCACCAGTGTCCAAGAATTTAAAAAAAAAAAATTTGTTATTTTTTATGAAATCGTAGAGAATCTTTTTGTGAAGGTAATAAAACAAAAAGTACGAAATTTGGTGGAAAATTGACGAAATTATGCTCTCGCGAATTTTGATGTGTCAGCGATATTTACGAATCGGCGACTTTGACTCCCATTTTAGGCCAATTACATTATTCCAATCAACCAAATTCTTAGCTATTTCACTAGTATTACTTCTATTCTATCGATTGAGCACAAGAAATCGCCAAGTCAACTGTTTCAACTACAAAATAAAGTGATCGGAAATTGTTAATTTGGCCAATTTAACACAAAGTTCAAAATATTCCAATTTCAAAATAGGGTCCAGAATGAACAATGTAGGCATCCTGGCACTAAACTAACATTTCCTCTGTTCATTAGTTATGTTTTGAGGCTTTACAAATAAATTCCATTTTGATTTTTTATTCACATAATGAATTTTTATTCACACCAAAAAATAGAAGATTTACTGTTATGCAATACTGTAATAATTGTATAAATATCATCACCATATTTGTGAATGTATATTAGACCCACCAGCTGACGTGTATTAGACGTGTGAGGTCGTTTGTTTACTCTTGAATATCGGCAAAAATTTAACATTTCTGCTACTTTGAGCTCAGTTTCAAGCCATTTCCAGTGCTAAAACCAATCAAAAATCATCTCTATTTCTGTAATATGTCTTCCATTCTATCAAATGAGACCAAGAAATCGCAAATACAACTATAAAAAACATACGAAAAAACACTGCAAAGTTGCTGTTTTAATCGAAAAATCATGATTTCATTTTTTTTCTCTCATTATACACAGTGTGCTGCAGGATCTGTTTTATGTGGTGCACACATACCACATAGATGTATTCTCTCATATCTAGGCCCAAATGTACCACTCACAGTTTATCAGAGTGAGCTGAGCTCATGGCGTAGATCTACGGTTTGGACCCTGAACATAAAGCCGTAGATCTACGGGACGGACCCTGAAAGGGTTAAGTTGTCTAGGCGTATATCAAATTAAATTAAATTAATCACAATAATTAAAATAATATCACTTCTCTCGTATACAATAGTTTTGTGCTGAAAGCACACATCACATTTATAATTCTTAAGTACCGTTTGGTACATTAACATTTAACCCTTTCAGGGTCCAAGGCCAAAATCTGAAGTCACGCACCAGTGTCCAAGAAATTTTGAAAAAAAAAAAAAAAATTACTTTTTCTTACAGAATTAAAGAGCATATTTTTGTGAAGGTAATAAAACAAAAAAAAATTAGAATTTGATCATTACTTACCGAGATACAGTGCCAAGAAGTTTATAGAAAATGATGTGGTGGCGGCAACATCGACGAATTCCACATACGCGTATTATATATTATTTTGTTGTTTTAGTTGTTTTTTCTTTTCTTTTCCAATTTTTTTTCTATTCCTACTAACATTTGGGGCCTGAGAGACCAATACTGTATATAATTGATATATATATACTCACTGTATTGAACACAATAACCGCACTAAAGTTATTATCATATTATTGTTTACCACTGTTGTTTATTACAATAAACATGCACAAATATTGTATAATACTAATGTTCTATCATATATTTACATATTTACAATCATGGACATGGTTTTTGGGGGGCT